GAAACAGCAATTGGAATATGATTATAAATTGGATATAGAACGCGTTTATAATCCAGAACAATTGTGGTGGTCGAGGAATGCATAGTGCACCCCACGTAAACACCTGAAATATTTACAAAATCGGCACCACTTCACAAAACGAATTCACAACAACTAATATGCTAAATTTCCATTAACATTACTCAGCAGGTCAAAACTACGAGTGGAAAAGCGAAATAAAATTCATCAGTGAGGCAAACTGCTATCAGCGGAAAAATATCATTTCAAAAACAAAAACATACCATGAATGGGAACGGTAAGGTGAGTAACGAAGGTTTGGACAGGTGCACGATAAGCATCAAAATGAAACAGACCAACTCTGATTGTGCTGTCACCGTATGTGATATACTGCAAATCCATACTATTAAGGTTAAATCTATCATCGTATGAAAATATATTAACTCTAAAGAGCAGATACACTTCCATTACTCCAAGAAAAAACCTATCATATGGCAATGGAGTACAATGAAGATAACATATCAAGTGGTTAAAACATGAGAGTTAAAATTTGAAACTGGAAAAAATGATGACCANCAATGAAGATAACATATCAAGTGGTTAAAACATGAGAGTTAAAATTTGAAACTGGAAAAAATGATGACCAATAAAGAAATTTGAATGCTGGATGTATGGATCGCCATTCGCAAATCGCTTCATTCCAAAGCACCTCTGAAGAGGTAATCGACTGAAAATCATCGCGAAGTGCCAACTCACTACGAAGTGCTTCTAACTTCTCGCAAGAATCCGACATCAATAAACGCTGTAAGTGTTGAAGTGAAATCATATGCTACAGATGTTCACAAAGTAAAATCAATTGTTAAACGAATAAATTAAACAATAAGCGAGTCAGAAGATACTGCAAACCTCTTTGAATATATCCTTGATACGCCGTTTATCGTTCTCAAGAACGTGTGCGATGTAAGCGTGCCCTTTCGATATTCGAAACAACCACTCGGGATTATTCACCAATTGAAGCAGATGCATTGCTGTCACGCGAATACTTTCTAGCACCTTAATTAACAACCATTCAGATCAAATTTTTTGAAAATTTCAAA